CAAAAATCTAATAAGAGTATCTTGGCTGGTATTGCTTCTGTCCTCTAATGTTCATCATATCAGATAAAAAAGCATTATCCATGAGTGCAGATTGCAGTTGTGAGTGCCCTGTTTCCGAGGTGTCCTGCAGAGGGCATTGCAGCAGTGTCACAAGCTCAACAGCACAGCCTGTCTTGGTCCTGCAATGAAGAGTTATCAAACCCAGCTGCAGCTGCTGCGGTCCAGAAACACAGGACGTACAAACCCACTTCAGTTACTCAATCAGTCTGATTTTCTTTCATAAGAGAAGTTTTGTACACCTTTATTATATTTCCCTATAGATTTTCTCTGATTTGGGTCTCGTGCATTGCAAAAACGACACAACTTCTAGTGAAAGTCACCTTAGCTCAGTTAAAGGTTAATCATCAAATTGGAAGGTGAATGAAACTAAAGAAATAGAGTGGAACAGTGAAAGAGATAAAGAATAGCTTTCTGTATAGTTTATTATTCATGCGGAAATTAATATTTAATATAATCACGTTATATGATTTCCAATTAATATGCATAGAACTGAACGTAAAGAAATGCAGAGCTAATTTATCATTAATGGCCCTTGCTTGGTAGTATAAATCTGCTTCCATGGGAATATATTTAGATGCTACATTAGCCTATACAGGTGCATCTCAATAAATTAGAATGTCGTGGAAAAGTTCATTTATTTCAGTAATTCAACTCAAATTGTGAAACTCGTGTATTAAATAAATTCAATGCACACAGACTGAAGTAGTTTAAGTCTTTGGTTCTTTTAATTGTGATGATTTTGGCTCACATTTAACAAAAACCCACCAATTCACTATCTCAACTAATTAGAATATGGTGACATGCCAATCAGCTAATCAACTCAAAACACCTGCAACGGTTTCCTGAGCCTTCAAAATGGTCTCTCAGTTTGGTTCACTAGGCTACACAATCATGGGGAAGACTGCTGATCTGACAGTTGTCCAGAAGACAATCATTGACACCCTTCACAAGGAGGGTAAGCCACAAACATTCATTGCCAAAGAAGCTGGCTGTTCACAGAGTGCTGTATCCAAGCATGTTAACAGAAAGTTGAGTGGAAGGAAAAAGTGTGGAAGAAAAAGATGCACAACCAACTGAGAGAACCGCAGCCTTATGAGGATTGTCAAGCAAAATCGATTCAAGAATTTGAGTGAACTTCACAAGGAATGGACTGAGGCTGGGGTTAAGGCATCAAGAGCCACCACACACAGACGTGTCAAGGAATTTGGCTACAGTTGTCGTATTCCTCTTGTTAAGCCACTCCTGAACCACAGACAACGTCAGAGGCGTCTTACCTGGGCTAAGGAGAAGAAGAACTGGACTGTTGCCCAGTGGTCCAAAGTCCTCTTTTCAGATGAGAGCAAGTTTTGTATTTCATTTGGAAACCAAGGTCCTGGAGTCTGGAGGAAGGGTGGAGAAGCTCATAGCCCAAGTTGCTTGAAGTCCAGTGTTAAGTTTCCACAGTCTGTGATGGTTTGGGGTGCAATGTCATCTGCTGGTGTTGGTCCATTGTGTTTTTTGAAAACCAACGTCACTGCACCCGTTTACCAATAAATTTTGGAGCACTTCATGCTTCCTTCTGCTGACCAGCTTTTTGAAGATGCTGATTTCATTTTCCAGCAGGATTTGGCACCTGCCCACACTGCCAAAAGCACCAAAAGTTGGTTAAATGACCATGGTGTTGGTGTGCTTGACTGGCCCGCAAACTCACCAGACCTGAACCCCATAGAGAATCTCTGGGGTATTGTCAAGAGGAAAATGAGAAACAAGAGACCAAAAAATGCAGATGAGCTGAAGGCCATTGTCAAAGAAACCTGGGCTTCCATACCACCTCAGCAGTGCCACAAACTGATCCCCTCCATGCCACGCCGAATTGAGGCAGTAATTAAAGCAAAAGGAGCCCCTACCAAGTATTGAGTACATGTACAGTAAATGAACATACTTTCCAGAAGGCCAACAATTCACTAAAAAATTCACTTTTTTTATTAGTCTTATGAAGTATTCTAATTTGCTGAGATAGTGAATTGGTGGGTTTTTGTTAAATGTGAGCCAAAATTAAACACAATTAAACAATTAAATTAACCATCACAATTAAAAGAACCAAAGACTTAAACTACTTCAGTCTGTGTGCATTGAATTTATTTAATACACGAGTTTCACAATTTGAGTTGAATTACTGAAATAAATGAACTTTTCCACGACATTCTAATTTATTGAGATGCACCTGTTTATCAACAATTGGTAGAAGAACATTAGCCTATATTCTTCCTATCATCCCTGTCATTTGGGTGAATGAGTGAGTGAATATGAAATGCAGAGGGAGACATTCACACACCACTAAATGGGTTTTATTTACATTAATGAACTCCGATGGTGGACATTTTTACAAACAGCCACAAATTATGTTGAAAGGCTATGACAATGCAGCATGTGCTTAGATTCACTTGTATTAACTTTATTTTGAGTCTTGTTTAATGCAATTATTAATTTGGGACTCTCACAACAGTTTACAGCATATGATGATGTCAATAGCCATTAGATTTGACAAAATATATTCTGTAATACTGATTCAGCTTTACAGAAAATTGAACCTATAAGTTAGTAAAGGTTATGATGACTTTTAATCATATTTCATAATAATTCAAAACATAAAACATTTGATATAGCTCTTTTTCAAAGTCTTTTTAAGTTCTACTGGAAAAAAGTGCCAAACTAATCAAACTTCATGCAGGCACTCGTTATTCATAGAGATGGAGCTTTAGTGTACACATCTCTTCCAGTCCTTTAATATATTTGATTTTCTTTGAGCACTGAGCGTGTCCAGCCTTCATTTCAGACTGTGTAAAGAGACCTACCCACCCTGCCATTTCTATTTCCCCCTTTAAAACGAACTTAAACTTCATAATATTTTCAATGAATGGATTGGATAATTACCTGATTCCACAGAAGTGGGGTAGTTTATGTAACGTTTTCCCCTAAACAGATTTCCTATTGTGTAAGCCATTGCTAAATGACAAAAGAGAATGTTGATTGATTAAGCTGTCTGTTTATGGCTTTAACAGCTTAGGACAATGACCTAAATGAAATGGGGGAAGGGGATGCAATTAAGTAACGGGAATATGTGCTTGTAAAACCAATGACCTGTCATTGCAGTAAGTGTCTGTCAATGTGCGAGAGAGATATTTAAAGGCCAGCCTCATCTGCCTTTTTACTACATCTCCAGCATCTGTGAAAAAAATAAAAGCAGATGGTCACAACCACATTTGACCTCTGATTTAATCACATCAGTGTTCTCTTGGAACCTCAGAGTGCAGAGATTTACTGCTGTAATAATCACTAAAACAGTCATGAAATCATACAAGTGACATGATGTTTTGGAATACCTAAAAAAAAAAAGAACTCACAGTTCTGCTTAGCTCTTATCCGTACATAGAGAGACAGATGCAGTTTACAAGTCGTACTCTCAACAAGAGAGTTAAAAGGGAAAGGACTGAGAAAGGGAGGGTGAGAGGATGAGATGCTAAGATACAACCTGGCCAGATGTTCTGAGAGACTTCAAAGTCTTCAAGAAGCTCTGAAGTAAATTACCTGGGAATATATTGAAACAAGGCCAAAATCTCAGCGGCACCTGATTTTCAAAGAGTAGCTAGGAGTCACGTGACTAGGTCAAAGCTAAAACGTTTTTTTTGTGTGTGTGTGTGTATAAGTAAAATCTTTTTTTTTTAATCTATGTATGTGATTTGAAAAGTATAACAAAATGGCAATTTACAGATAATGTTAAAACCCAGATCATTCCTTTTTTCTTCTTCTTTTGACCAAATATTTGAAGTACCTGCTTGTAAAAAGTGTAGGATATATAATAAAAAAATGGCACTTTCCACAAAATATGTCCTAAAACTGTTAAAAAAAAGAAGACAATAAAAAAACATAATAAATGAAAACATATAGTGAGTGAAATGAACTGCTTACACTTCAAAATGTATGACTGTCAGTAGGTGAAACTATTTTGATAGGAGTTGTTTTATTTTTCATTAATTTTCTATAGAGTTTGCAAGTCCTGTTACTAAAATTTGGGAAATACATATCTTAAAATCCTTGTTTGTGTGATTTTGCAATTTTCTAGCAGTAAACATAAAATAGACATTAAAACAGACAAAATCAATAAAACTGAATGAATGGCTGACACAGTCAACTCAATTTGTGTAAACACTGAGAAAATGTAATGAGGTTACTAAAGGCCTACTTCCCCAATGCTGTAGAAAGGGTCCAATTTATTTATTTATGTTGTGTAATATCGAATTTATCAACAGAGTTACGTGCAAAATATGGAATACGGATTAATGTTATGTAAAATGAGATATGTATTTTTATTTTGTTTATACTGATTCAAAAGGTTATGTCACAATTATTGATTGTCGTATTATTTTAATTGTTAAATACTGTCGAGAAGGTCAAGACCTCTGCGCTTTGACATCTGAACCATATGTGGGGGAGGGAACATTTACCCGACATGTGACGTGTTTAAAACTAACTAGGCCTACTTTATATGCCAGGTTAATTTCATGTCAGCTAATAGTTTCTCAAACACATCTAATATGTCTCACAAACATGGGATTCGTCGTGCCTCTAATTCTTCACACCAACATGCACCGTGTTCGTGCAATATCTTTATATTATTATTATTATATTTAGAAATGGTAAGTATAAATAGGCTAATTATTAATTCAGTTCAAGCTTTTTAAAAATCATTATCAGCACAATGCATCCATCAAAATCAAGGAGGTCTATAATGTCTCGTATGATGCAGTGTTAGGACGCTGATTATTCAAACACAGTATCCGTCTGCGCTCTTGAGCGTCTATGATGAGAAATGTGTGTTACGCGCGCACACACGCAGGCGCAGGCTGAGCATCACACGCACGCGCGCGCGCACTCACACTGCTGTGAGATTATCAGAGCGCTCGGCAGCAGAGAGAGAGAAAGAGGGAGACGCGGAGGAGAGCAGCAGCCCCACCGATCCTCAAGCGAGAGAGAGAGGCAGCGTCTGGAGCAAGAGCTGGGCGGGGAAATAACTGCGGTACTGAAGAAATACTTCATTGCCGAACTGCAGAAATTTGTCGGCATCAGATCTTCGTCCGTGTAAAGCAAAATGTCATCGTCGGGAAAAGACAACAGCTCCCAGCATGCGAATTACGTGGGACCGTATCGCCTGGAAAAGACGCTCGGCAAAGGACAGACAGGTTTGTCCTTTTGTGTGCTTGAGATCGGGGATGATGACACGCGCTATCACCGCTGCTCAGTAAATATCATGCGTGTGCGTTTGCTGACATGTCATTGTGTAGAGAGGTTTTCCGCAGATTAAGGACTTTAGCCTACTTTTCTGACCATCCGGTGAGATCTTATCAGTTTCAGAATGCTTTTTGGGTGAAACAAGTTGGCAAGCGTTTGTATTTTCATCCTATAAAGGGAACCTGGTCATCGCAAATGACAGTTTGGCTTTGCGGCTCCGCTTTGCTTCTGGCTAATGCCGTTAATCCAGATTTGTCAGACAACGGGATGTGGTTGCACTTGCAGGTCCCACTGCTGAATCCATTTGTCTTGTGCAAGATCTAGAATTGAATGTTTGACATCAGGGAACAGGTGGCCCTCGGATGCTGCTGATGATGGGACAGTTTTGCTGCATCCGTAGTGCACCATGTGTTCAACCTGATTCTCTCTGCAGTCCGGTGGTGCTGAAATATAGTGCTGAAGTTTGAGGTATAAGGGAAAGCAGTCTTGCTTTAGTTCTGCTACAGGCCACCGAAAGGCTGTTGGCTGATTTGTGCGGTTGTAAAAATCAATACCATAATCATCCAAGTTTATATGACCACACAATGCATGACAAAAAGGTTATTCTTATGTTCATGTCGGCTTATAGCTGAGAATGGCTGTATGACATGGGAGTGTGGAAGAAGTATTGATCTGGCGGCAATTTTTTTGTGCCCAATGTTCTATGGCCAGTGGCTTCTTCTGGTGTGGCTTTGGTAGAGAACAGTTATTGAGTCAATATCCCTGGCCAGACGGATCCAAGTCAAGTGCCTGCAGCTGTTATGCAACACATGAACTGCAACTGTTAAGAGTATAGATTGACTCTGTTTTGAAGAACATTGAGGCCAGAGTTGGTAGTCAGGTCTTCAAGTTCTCATGTTTCCTGTTAAACATAACCAGCATGGCTGAACTTTTTTCAGTCATAACTTTGGCATTCAGATGAGTTGTTGACAAAAAGCCATGTATATGGTCATTTCACGTCAAAATTTACTTTCAGTGTCTAAAATTTGCAGTCTCTTAAAGGGTTACTCCACCCCCAAATGAAAATGTTGTCATTAATCACTTACCCCCAATGTCGTTCCAAACCCGTAAAAGCTTCGTTCGTCTTCGGAACACAATTTAAGATATTTTGGATGAAAACCGGGAGGCTTGTGACTGTCCCATTGACTGCAAAGTAAATAACACTGTCAAGTCCCAGAAAAGTATGAAAGACAACGTCAAAATAGTCCATCTGCCATCAGTGGTTCAACCGTAACGTTATGAAGCAATGAGAATACTTTTTGTACGCAAAGAAAACAAAAATAACGACTTTATTCAACAATTCGTCTCCTCCGCATCACCGTAGCACCATTTTGGAGAGTATCCACTGAACGCAAATTGCGTATGCTGTTCTGTGTCAGTCGCACCACACGGATACGCTGTTTTCGTTCAAGTCAAAGTGTAAATAAACGTAGAAAATGTATCCGAGTGGTGCGGCTGACACAGACAAGTAGAACAGTATACGCAGTTCAGATTGAACCACTGATGGCAGATGGACTATTTTGACGATGTCTTTCATACTTTTCTGGGCCTTTACAGTGTTATTTACTTGGCAGTCAATGGGACAGTCACAAGCCTCCCGGTTTTTATCCAAAATATCTTAAATTGTGTTCCGAAGACGAACAAATCTTTTACGGGTTTGGAACGACATGGGGGTAAGTGATTAATGACAAAGTTTTCATTTTGGGGTGGAGTAACCCTTTAATGTGTCCAAATATACTACTAAACTAGTACATTGAATCAGTAGGATGTCTGAATACACATGTCTGTTAACAGTAGGCAAATAATTTGTGGATGGTGTACCGTGTCCACTGAGATTCTGAAGTGTAGACACTTTGCTATCCCAGAAGTCCATGGTAGCTGAGGAGCTGCCAGATTTGAAAAATTGAGAAACGTGAGGCTGGTGGATCTTTTCAAGTGCTAGAGATACCAGGAAAGTTGTATTTAACAATACTTAAGCAATGATTTTTGTGATTGCTGTTAGTATGTTACAAGTCAAATAAAATACAGGTGAAAGGAGAGTGCCAACATGGTGGGTGTCGTATATCTAGGAATATATGCATTCTATAGACCTGCATACTTGAAGAACACAATTCATCAACAGTTGAGGTTAATCTACGTTCAGTACATTAATTCAGTACATACTCTGAAACAGAGCTTCTTTTTTTTGTGAGAAAATGAGCCAAAAAATATTGATGACTCACCTTGCACTCATGGTAGTCTCTGCATTTTTGTCCAATAAGAATCTCCCTGACCACCTGCTTCTGCCTAGCAACAGCTGTTAGAAGATCATGGTTCATAGCTGTGAACTAAAAGGTTTTGGCTATTCAAAAATAGTCAGATAATCAACCCCTCAATTTGTCTTGCCCCAACTTTCTATTTCAACACAAAAATACGTTGTCACAGGAAAATATACTGCAATCATCAAGTCATTTCATGGGGTCTTAAAGGGATGGTTCACCCAAAAATGACAATTCTGTAATTATTTACTGACTCTCATGTCATTTCAAAACTGTACAACTGACTGTTGTACATTTTTTGAAAAATGTCTCTGTTTTTTTTTATGTGTAAAATGGAAGTCACCAAAATGGTTTGGTTACCAACATTCTTCATAATATCTTCTTTTGTGTTCATCAGAAGAAAAAGTCATTTGGAATGACATGAGGGTGAGTAAATGATCAAAGAATTTTCGTTTTTAGCTGAACTATCCCTTAAAAAATCACTCAGCCGAATTATGGTCAGATTTCTCAGTTAACCAAACAGTACGTAACCAGTGTTGGCAATGTGTTTATATGATTTGATGACTGTAAATACATGCATTGCTTGTTGTTCAGCAGAAGAGACGGCACACATTGTTCATTTGCGAATAGAACGCTCTGTCGGCAATTAAACTATTGGCACCAACTCTTAAAATAAATCCTCGTGTAGCCCGTGGTTAGAAGAGCAGGCTGCTTCTGACTAGTTAGCGGAGGGTATTCCTGCTCGTTCTGCCACCGTTGGCATGGCTGCTGAGAGAATGCTGCACAATAAACGCCGCTTCCCAGTGCTGCCGCTGCAGAGGAGAGCCCATATGTCATGAGAGAGACTCACACAGAGAAAGAGGAGCTTGGGGGAGGGTAGGGATAGATGGGAAGGGGGTGGGTTTGGGGATGAGGGAGAGAGTTCTCAGAGCTAAAGCGGGACCCCCATGGGAAACAGTAAAAAGGACGCTCTACTTTAATTTACCCCCTCCCTCACCTCCCCAAATCAAAACGGATGTACGTGCCTGTATTTTTTGCCTTTCCTGTTTCTTTGTGATGCTTCAGCCGTCTCACGTAGCATCCTCACTGCTTGAGTCAGTTGAAAGTAGGCAGAGGAAGATTACAGGAGATCACTGACTGAGACAGATTACTGAAAAACAATAATGTTGCAACAATACCTGCTTTATGAGAGTTATTCAGTTGCTGTGTATTTTTTTCTGCCAATTCGTTCTGTTCACATCTGCACTACTCTACTAGTACCCTGGTCTTCTAGCTTCTCTCACCCCGTCAGGGTGTCCCAAAGGAGGCCCGTTAATGAAGCGGCGAAGTACCTGAATCACGCACGCTGTCACGGGCAGAAACGGAGCCCTCTTGCTGGGTCAGGGTTAGAAGGCTTGTATGGGTTAGACAGGCTCCATGCAGAGGGGTGTTAGAGCCCCAGGCCTCCACTGCACTTCCAGCATGGACATGGAGATAATCAAGCTACTGTACATATACACACTACCTCAGGGCCAGTGAGTGTCCGTTACTGCAGAGGCACTGATGCAAGGCGGATATGAAGAGCCGCCGGCAGAACCACATAATGTATGGTTATTTTGCTGCAGTGCACGTAGGGTTCATTTCAATCCAAGGTAGTGCTTCCACATATGGGATGCCATTGCTCCTCTTTGCCAGTATCGAAAAACAGAGTTTTAGCATAGGGCTATGTAGTGACACTTATTTTAACTGCACTAAACAGAAGTGTGAAACTAATGTCTACCATTGTTGGAACAAACAGTGCTGCCCTAAACTCATGCTCTTGGTTTAGCCAATGTTGCTGTGCCAGACTGGTCGAGATGCTCAAGCAGTGACGTTTTGATATGTTTTTTGAAACAACTCTCAGCCTATGAATGTCTTACTTGGGTGGGAGACATTAAGCTTCATTTTTAGCCATTGTCATATACTATGGAATTTAGAATATGCAAATTATGCTAATTGTTTTGAAATATTTAGGCCTATGTATTATACAGGTATGCTTTTATTCTCCAATTTAAAGGCATAGTTCACCCACAAATATATTATTCTGACATCATTTGCTCACCCTGATGTTTCAAACCGGTATGCCTTTCTTTCTTTCTTTCTTTCTTATGCATAACATGAACATGAAGATATATTAAAGAATGTTTAAACTGTTTGTCCATACAATAATAATCAGAGGGGTCCCTGTCCAATAAGAATCTCCCTGACCACCTGCTTCTGCCTAGCAACAGCTGTTAGAAGATCATGGTTCATAGCTGTGAACTAAAAGGTTTTGGCTATTCAAAAATAGTCAGATAATCAACCCCTCAATATGTCTTGCCCCAACTTTCTATTTCAACACAAAAATACGTTGTCACAGGAAAATATACTGCAATCATCAAGTCATTTCATGGGGTCTTAAAGGGATGGTTCACCCAAAAATGACAATTCTGTAATTATTTACTCACTCTCATGTCATTTCAAAACTGTACAACTGACTGTTGTACATTTTTTGAAAAATGTCTCTGTTTTTTTTTTATGTGTAAAATGGAAGTCCCCAAAATGGTTTGGTTTCCAACATTCTTCATAATATCTTCTTTTGTG